CACGCCAAGTCCTTCCTGTGGTGGGCAGGGGATGCGCCGGGGCTGACACCACAGTGACAAGACAGGCAGGCCCCTGCTGGTTCGGAACACCCAGGAAAAATCTGTGCTTTGAAAACGGGAACACGCAGGTCCTGCTCCAGCCGGTGGTCAGGGAAGGCTTCTCAGAGGAGGTGTCATTTGAGCTGAGCCTGAAACACGCCAGGCAGCAGAAGCAGCGTGTGCCAAGCCCTTGGGGAAAAAGAGTGGGGGGGGTCCAGGCCATGGGGCGTGTTGGTGGGGGCTGGTGGCCAGGTCTAGGGTGACGATTCAGGACGGAGACAAAGGGGTTCGGATCGGGGGAGAGTTGGGGGAAACGGTGGGTCTGAGTCAGGACGGATCGTGGGTGGTGCCACGTGCAGAGAGAGGTGCTGAGAGTCAGGAATGACGTCAAGGGTTCTCTGTGGCCTGGACTGCAGGGGGGCAGACAGGGATGGGGTGTCGGGAGCTGTAGACACCCCCAGTGTGAGTCCCTTCTGTTCCCCTCTGGCCCCTCCCTCAGGGAGCACTACGGGTGGGGGGGCGGCGCGCATGCGGCGGGAGCGGCTGCGCCCACCCCTGGGGCTGCTGCGCAGATTCAGTGAAAACGTGTGGTGCCAGCCACTTTATAAAATGTCCCTTGGGCCAATGAAACGGACAGTCATCAGGCAACTGGACATGTGAGCCTTGGCGGGGCTTGTTTGAAGACAAGTTTGGACTCGTCAGCACAAGGAAGGGGGTTGAAGTCGAGGCTGTAGACAGGGGAAGGGAGCAGGGCCAAGAGCTGCCATCAGCGGGAGGCGGTGGCAGTATCAGTGACACTTGCAGAACGCTCAGCGGGTGGACCCCGCGTTAGGTCTGATACGCATTCTCCCTCGGTCCGCACAGCCGCCCGGCAGGCAGACGCAGCCACCGCCCCGTGTGCACGCGAGCTGCCAAGGGCACGTGGAGTGCTGCTCATGGTGGGCTGGAATTTGGCCGCTGGGGTGCTCCTAACACCCACCACACACCCACCACCCCCAAAGGAGGAGCAGTGGGAGGAGGGGAGGGGGAGGGAATCTGGGAGTCTGCAGGGCGGTGGCGAGGGCCAGGAGGTGAGGGTGTTTGCTGGATAAAGCGGGCAGACGGTGCTAAGAGCCGCCACCGTGTCCGTGAGGAGGGGACATAGAGTGTCTGTTGAGGGCACAGCT